TGTCACCAAATGTGATACTATCAATCCCATTGCTCTTGTTTTCATTAATTGAATTGAACATTATTAGATCATCGATCATGTGTTGTGTGCACCCACTATCAAGTACCCAATGTCTTCCTCCAGCTTTATAATTGACCTATAAAAGAAGATCAATTCTTTTTAGGTACCCAAACTTGCTTGAGTCCTTGTAGGTTAGTTACCAAGGTCTTTGGTACCCAAATGACCTTCTTCTTTGGGCCCACAATTGGTGTACCAATGAACTTAGCCTTCACACCATTGGCACCCTTAAAAAGCATGTAACAAGAATCAAATTTAATTGGGGATACATTATGTAGCTTGTTCTTGTTAATCTTGCAATATTGCTCTATATGCCCAACTTGCTTGCATCTATTGCAAAACCGACCATTGCCCTTCACAAAGCTAACTTTGGGAGTTACAAAGGCTGCCTTGCCTTTCTTAGGGGTATAGCCTAATCTCTCTTTGTTGAGAGAAAACCTTTGGCTACCCAAGCACTTTAGCAAGCGGGCATCTCCACCATAGGCATTGCCTAAGGCACGAGTGAGCTCATTCACCTCCTTCTTAAGGGTCTCATTTTCCACCATTAGTGAGGCATCACAAGAGAGACCATCACTCAAAGGTGAAGTGGAAGAGGTAGTGCTACAAGAAGAGTTAGTGGGAGCAACTACAATGGGCTTATAAAAAGATTCATCAATAAGATCACAAGTTAGTCTCACATCACATGATACGATCACTTGCTCTTTCTTGGCTTCCTCCACTTTGACTTGCTCAATAAGAGAGGAGTGAGCCTTTTCAAGCTTAGAGTGAGCTTTGCCAAGTTTCTCATGGGCTTCCATTAGCCTCTCATGAGTGGCATTGAGCTCATCAAAGGATTGCTCAAGAAATTTTACCTTCTTGTGTAATTCTTTGCACTCCTTTCTCTTCATCTCATTGCAAGCGGGCACTTGCTCACACATGTCCAAGAGTTCTTCCTTGGTGTACTCCTCATCCTCATCATCATCATTATCATCATTCCTACAAGTATCACTTTCACATTCAGCATCATCATCACTCATATCATATTTTACCTTGGTAGGCTTTGCCATGAGGCATGTCGATGGAGTGTCGAAGATGGAGAGCTTGTCGTTGATGGCGATGCTTGCTAGTGCTCTCTTGATAGATTTCTTGTCATCATCACTAGAGCTATCACTATCCGAAGAGCCATCACTATCCCATATGACCACATAGTCTCCACCTTTCTTCTTCTTTTGGAAGGTCATTCTCTTCTCCTTCTTCTCCTTCTTTTTTTTCTTATCATTTTTGAGCTTCTTTTCATCCTCATCATTGTCACCATTGTAGGGACAATTTGCTACAATGTGATCGAGGCTCTTGCAATTGTAGCATCTTCTCATATATTCTTTGCTTTTGGTGTGATCCCTTCTCTTTCTTGCACCATAGCTCTTCTTCTTCATGAATTTTCCCATCTTACGGACAAAGAGGGCCATAGCTTAATCATCAATATCACTAAGATCATCATCATTATCTTGATTCTTTCTTGGACTTGCCCTTGTTCTTGGATGATGATGAGCTAGCCTTGAATGCTATACTCTTCTTCTTCCTTCTTGTCATCCTTGTCATCCCCCTCCCTTTCCACACGGTATGTCTCTTGGGTCATGACATCACCTAGTACTTGGTTGGGGGTAATCTCCTTCAATCCTCCTCTTATGATGAGCAATCTCAACATCTCAAATCTTGGAGATAGGCACATTAAGAACCGATGAAAGACATCATCATCCTTGATCTTCTCTCCCAATACCTTTGAATTATTGACAATCACTTGCAAACAATGGAACATCTCTGGAATACTCTCATCTTCCTTCATCTTGAAGCTTATCAATTTATCCTTGAGGATATACAACTTGGCACTCTTCACCGCCGGTGTGCCCTCATATGTTTCCTCTAATCTCTTCCACACCTCATTTGCTCTTTCACAATCCTTGATTTGCTCAAACACCTTAGAATCAATGGCATTGCATATGGTGTTGAGAACCATTGTATTGCATTACTTGTTGATCTTATCTTGGTTGGTGGGATCATTGGGATCAATGATAGCATAGTCATTCTCGGTCACTTCCCATACTTGATCATTGATTGAACCAAGATACATCCTCATATTTCTCTTCCAATAATCATAGCATGTGCCATCAAAGAACGGTGGTTTGCCCCCCACATGGTTGAACACAACTTGAGCCATAATTTGACACCGAGGTTGTTAAGCCTTTAATCTAACGGTGACCACGGCTCCAATACTACTTGAAAGGTCCTAATATGGTTAGAGGGGAGGTGAATAGCCTATTTAAAATTCTACAAATCAACTAGAGCAATTTGATTAGTAAGACAAATAGCGAAATGCAAACTTGCTCTAGCTCTACGAGGGTTGCAAGCCGCCTATCCAATAATTCTAGTTGCAATGATTACTAGACATACAACTTGCTAGGATACTACTCACTAAGAGCTCTCAATCTTACTACACTAAAGAGCTCCACTAGATGAACTTAAATAACAAATCAAGCTCTCAATTCTAATTACACTAAAGAGCTTAACACAACTAGTTTGCAAGAATATAAAAGAGTGAGTAGGGTGATTATACCGTCGTGTAGAGGAGTGAACCAATCACAAGGTGAATATTAAATCAATCACCGGGAGAATACCAAATGGCAAGAGACAACCGATTTTCTCCCGAGATTCACGTGCTTGCCAACACGCTACGTCCCCGTTGTGTCGACCAACACTTGGTGGTTCGGTGGCTAAGAGGTGTTGCACAAACCTCGTCCACACGATTGGACACCGCAAGAACCTACCCGCAAGTGAGGTAACTCAATGACAAGAGCAATCCACTAAAGTTACCTTTCGGTGCTCCACCGGGAAAGGTACAAATCCCCTCACAATCACCAGAGATGGCCACAAACAATCACCAACTTGTGCCAATCCTCCACCGCTGCACCAAGCCGTCTAGGTGGTGGCAACCACCAAGAGCAACAAGCGAATCCCGCAGCGAAACACGAATACCAAGTGCCTCTAGATGCAATCACTCAAGCAATGCACTTGGATTCTCTCCCAATCTCACAAAGATGATGAATCAATGATGGAGATGAGTGGGAGGGCTTTGGCTAAGCTCACAAGGTTGCTATGTCAATGCAAATGGCCAAGAGGGTGAGCTTGAGCCGGCTATGGGGCTTAAATAGAAGCCCCCATGAAATAGAGCCGTTGGGATTCTCACTGCACTGAACACGGGCCGACCGGACGCTCCAGTTAGATTGACCGAACGCTGGACCTTAGCGTCCGGTCGTGCGATGTGCGCCACGTGTCATCAGCTTCAAACGCTGATCGCCCGATTTCAATGGTCAAGTGATGACCGGACGCGTCAGTTAGAAAGTGACCGGACACTGGACCTCAGCGTCCGGTCGTTTCCAGTAAGGTTCCAAACGTGAATTTTCACGATCGGACGCGTCCGGTCATGCTCGACCGGACAAACCCTACGTCCGGTCACTCAATGTTTCCTCTGTGCGCCCTACGTCAGCGTACGTCAGCACTGACCGGACGCACCCTGCCAGCATCCAGTCACTTTTAGCGCTAGCATCCGGTCGAAGAGCGAGACCACACGCACACTGCTGCTACTGATCGGACACGCCGGTCCAACTGAGACCAGCGTCCGGTCACTTACAGTGACTTTCGTCTTTTCTGTAAAGAGCGCCGGTGGCACCATCGGACTGTCCGCACTCTGCGGGCGGAGACTCCGCCGGTGAAGTTTCTAACCCTTGCTCAAATGTGCTAACCACTAAGTGTATCACCTTATGCACATGTGTTAGCATATTTTCACAAACATTTTCAAGGGTGTTAGCACTCCACTAGATCCTAAATGCATATGCAATGAGTTAGAGCATCTAGTGGCACTTTGTTAACCGTATTTTGATACGAGTTTCACCCCTCTTAATAGTACGGCTATCGATCCTAAATATGATCACACTCGCTAAGTGTCTCAATCACTAAAACAAAATGGCTCCTACAATTTTTACCTTTGCCTTGAGCCTTTTGTTTTTCTCTTTCTTCTTTTCCAAGTTTAAGCATTTGATCATCACCACGCCATCACTATCGTCATGATCTTCGCCATTGCTTCGTCACTTGGAGTAGTGCTACCTATCTCATAATCACTTTGATAAACTAGGTTAGCACTTAGGGTTTTATTAATTAACCAAAACCAAACTAGAGCTTTCAGCAGCGGTAGATCAAACTTCATCGATGCCATCGCAAAACCCTAATATGAAACCAAGCTCTGGTACCACTTGTTAGAAATGATAGGCAATATAAACGACGAAGAACAACAGATCAACACACAGGGGACACGAGATTTTAACGTGGAAAACCCTCCCAAGGAAGAAGGGAAAAACCACGAGCACCAGCCAGCAAATCTTCACTATATCGGGTGAGGTTACAAACGTCAGGGATTTACAACTTTTCTTATCCCAAGACGATGGCTTACAGGAAGTATATATATAGAGATGGAAAAACCTAGCCCAAGCCTCCCGACGATGGGCCTCGCTTCGCTCCGTCAGAAGTTAGCCTTTATCTTGTACATAACTGAATTTGGATCACAACTCAACACTCCCTCCAGCTCGCTTCGTCCACGTCATCTAGAGGCGCTGCCGGCGTCGCGGCCTTGGCCTCCTCGTCCGCCCAAACCCCGCCCCGAGCATCGTGACTCCTCCCACGCCGGTAGGAGATTGAGACCGTCGGCCCTGCCATGCCTGGCTACGCAACCGATCTACTCGATCGTGTCGTCCTTCCTACCACAGCCGCCCCAGGCTCCGGTGAATCTCGTCCTCCTATCGTCGGCACGAGGGGCGGTGGAGTTGCCATCGCTGTCGCTAGGGGAATAGCTTCAGAGGCTGGTCGGTCAAGGCGGTGCGTGGTGGCGTCCGCGTCTTGCCACAGCCGCGGTGGCAATGGAGGTGCCCAGGCTGATGAAGGCATGGGTGTACGACGTTTATGGGGACGCCGGCGTGCTCAAGCTAGACGAGGCCGTGGCTGAGGACCAGGTGCTCGTCAAGGTCATCGCCTCAGCACTCAACCCCGTGGATGTCAAGCGGCCAGCCAGCAAGTTCTGTCTTTCTGGGTCACCGAGAAACACTCTGTGAGCGGCGACCTGATCTCCGTTACGCAAACAAATACCTCACGAAGGAAAAATTACAGCCGTATTCTTGTGCACAACATATTACATCTGGAAGCTAATTACTAGTGAATAAAAATACAAGGCTACCAAACAGGGCCTAAGAGGATTCCTAGCGTCCGCACGGACTCCCACGCCTGCACCCTGTTTGTTTCTCGTGCCCACCCAGACATCACCCGTGTCGCCTGACTACACGCGGGACCGTCTGCGCTCGCTCGGCAGCGCCCCAGCAGCTGCAGCAGGTGGCTACGGCAGGTGAGTCCCATTGTAACATGTGTAACATCCATTTTATTTTTGCAACATCCAGATGAAATACTTACAACATAAGTCCGAAACTGCTGAAACACTTGTAACATACGTCTGAAACACTTGCAAAACACCAGAAATTTTTTAAAAACACGTGTGTAGACATTGCAAATATCTAGATGAAAACACTTGCAACATACGTCCAAAAATAACTGAAACACTTGAAGAACACCAGAAAAAACTTGAAAACACGTGTGTAGCCATTGTAAACATGTGCAAACATCTAGACACTTGCAACATACATACAATGTTTTCTTAAATGCTAAACAGTAAACAGTCGGTCACCTAAAGTTTAGCCATTATTCGGGCAAAACAGTCCATTAAACGGGCTAAACGGCTAGTTCAACGGGATAAACAGATGATTAAACGGAAACAGCGTACCACTGTGTAGCATTTACACGGTGTTTATACAAGCTAAACAGTCATTTAGGCGACCAGTGCATACGTATGAAAACACCTGAAATACTTGCATATATATGCAACATCCAAATGAAACGCTTGCAACATACGTCTGAAATAGACGAAACATCCAGAACATACCCTTTTGAAACATACGTGTATAGCCATTGCAACATTGCAATATCCCGATTTACTTTTTGCAACATCAGTATAAAAACACTTAAGCATACCTCACAAACATCAAGCACTTAAAACATACGTTTGCAACATGCAATTTCAGCGTAATGTCACTTTGCTACATGGACGAATGGAGGCTCGTCACTGCGGAGCTCGACATCAGCACGGAGGTCGGTAACGGCGCGAAGCTCGCCGGTGTGGGCAACTCGTCGACGGGGCGGCCTCACACAAAGCTCCTCCCCTTGCCTACTTGGTTGCTTGTTGGAGCATCCGTTGTCGAGGCTCGCTAGCTCGGTGGAGGCAGCCCTGACGAGCGGGCATCATGGTGGAGGCAGAGTGGGGAAGATAGGTGGCGCGGTATAGGCGAAGTATGAAAGGGGGGCAGCACGGTGGAGACAGAGCATAGTGGAGAGATTTTTTTTTTTACACCCGGAGCTCTGACAGATGCGGAATTAGGGAGGACAGTTTGCGTGCTACTGGTGGTTAGCTGTTTACTAAAGGGCTGTTTGAGTCCCCTTGAGATTGAAGAGATAATGGATGTGTTCTATTTTAATGAAAATAAAAATTACTTGCATGATGTCTAGAAATTACCTTTTTTTGGGAACGGCAATTTGCTGTAGACCTTTTGGTTTCTGAGGATGTGTCTACGAGCGGCGAATCCCTTTTCTAGCATTGTGCACAATATAGAACAAAAGACACGGCGACACATACATATACATTTACGATTACTAGTATAATGTCCGTGCTAACGCTACAGATAAACCAAATAGCTAAAATATTTGTAAAAAAATATTTGTTTGCCAATCAAGAAAATTTTAAATAAAATCATACACGAAACATCTCAATTCATATATTGTATTAAGAATTAAGAATATAACAATACGTGATACAGTGCAACCATAATTCAATTAATAATAAAATTCATATTTATTTTTCATGAATCAATATCTAGATATCATATAATACTAAATCTGTTCCAAATTATAGTTTGTTTGACTTTTTTGACCCTAAGTTTGACCACTCGTCTTATTAAAAAATTCGTGTTAAATATCACTTCTTTTGTTGTGGCTTGCTTTATTAACAAACGTTCTTCAAGAATGACTTAAATTTGACTATGTTTGCACAAATTTTTTGAATAAGACGAGTGGTCAAACTTAGGATCAAAAGAGTCAAATGAATTATAATTTGAAACGGATAGAGTACATAATATCTAGAAGTCTTCACCATGTCTCCAGTAGTTTGTACCTAGTATATTGCCTCATTTAATCAATGATGCCAAATACAAGTTCATGCTTCCCTTTGTCCACTCCCACAAGGAGAGGATAATTCATGACATTCACCAACTGCAAGTACAGTTAGCCTGTTCGCTTGGTTGTGTTTGGCTTATAAGTTATGGCTTATCAGCCAATGAACAATATTTTTTTCTCACATCAAATCAGTCAATGATACTTTCAGCCATGACTTATAAACCAAACAAGCACGAACGATCGGGACGAATAATTATTGAGGTGGGAGATGTCATTTTGCATTGACTCAGTTGCGTATTCAAGATAGTTGGCAGCAGCTCGTAGATGCTGTTGAGCATGAAGGTGACGGTCTAGCTTCCAGGACCTGCTTCTTTTGCCATGAGATCAAAGGTAGCTTTATTTGAAATGCCGACTGCTTTAGCATTTTCTACACTTGCAAGTTGTGCTTCTGTTATTCTTCTTTGAGATCTTACATCCTGTTCGGCTGGTGCTGATACGATCGTGGATTATTGCTGCTGCCTGGTTTGGTGTGAGAGAAAAATATTGTTCTGACTGGAAATTTACGATCATTTACGACCAAACGAACAGGCTGTTAAATGATGAACTTACTGCTAGTAGCAAGAATATGATTATGTTCAGGCTCAAACTCATAGATGCAGTACAATCCATCTGTAAGACTTATCTTCATGCGAGCTTCACACATACATCGTGTCTCTGGATTACTATAGTTGGAAGATTCTTCTTTTTTTATCAGGACGCCGAACACCTATTGAGAAGTAAATAATTGATCAAAATGATGTTCTATCCCTAATGATGAAGAAAGTGGCACAAGACAAAAGTGATTTAATACCTGCACGAGAACAACAAAAGGTTCTATTCTTTATGGTGGTGTTATTTTTCACATTATGTGAACTGCTCCTTCGAATACTAAAACCCTTGTCTCGAGCATAGGCATTGTAAAAGCGGTATGCCTCTTCTTCAGTGCAGAATTTCATACCGACCTTAGGTATCCTGTCTTCCATAGAATTTTCTACCTGAGTTTGGATTTGTAGCAGGTTTCATGCAAAATAAGTTAGAAATCGTGCAAACTTGCAGTGGAGGTTAAATTTCAAATATATTTGCATAGACAAAACAAATATAGATTATGAATGGTAATCCAATATGACTTGCATTTTCTAACTCTATTGCTACTGTGCCAGATGAAGAATGTTGATCTGGAGAAGTTTTGTGAGAATGTGACAACAAATGGAGGTCATATCAAGATTCTGGGTACCTGCGGAGAATCGGCCTCCATATGTAGTTAGCCTCGTCAGGCATGCGGGGAATTGGTTGAGAGCCTGAGATGCCCCCATGTAGTCGTGAGGCATGGAGAGTACTGGCTGAGATGCCATTGTTTAGACTGTTCGCTTGTTGGTTTCAGCTAGCCTAAACTAGTCAGTTAATAGTGTTTTTTTCTCACAAAAAATCAGCACCAACTAGCCTAAACCAGCATCAACATCAACCAGCGAACAGGCCCGTTGTGTAGATCGAGAGAAACAAGAAGAATGCTAGTCTAATAATACCCTTCCGTATGTATCTAATCTGATGAAACCAACTATTATAATTGGCGCCATTTTTCACATGCTAGCGCCTTTTGCCTCCTTTATTTAATTCAATTGGCGGTAATTTAATGTGGGTCCGATAACACGTGAACGTGGGACACAGAATACGGCTGGTCTATAAATCGCTTGTGTTAATTTATATGGCTAATTTGTTGAGAGAGAAAAATATTATACCATGACTGATAAGCCGGCTTATAATGGTAGCCGAACGTAGAAAAGATGAGGGTCCATCTCTGGAATGGATGGTGGACACGTGCGTGGAGACATCGAAGGGGACACGCCGAGGAGACACACAAGCTTCAGCTGTTCGAATTGTGAGGTCCCCAACCGAGCGGGGTAAATTGTTATGCATGGTGGCTGATATGGATGAAAACGGTACGGATATTTATTCGACCGTCCGTTCGACCGAACAAATATGAACACTTATTCGGATAGTTACTCGGATATCCGGTTTTTTTTCGGATACGGATACTAAAACGGATATCTTAGCCGGATATCAAATACGGATGTAATATCATCGATATCCGGCGGATATCGGATAATCCGGATAAGTATCGGATATATCCGGATATTTAAAAACGGATATTATTCGGATATTTATTCAAAATTTAAAAATCACAAATTTGAACCATCCAAACTATCTCAAATGGAAAGTTGACCAAAACAACAATTGTAGATCTTGATGAGTTGAACAAACTTGATATTCAAAACTTTTCAATTTGAAGTCATTTAGAGTTCATAATACTAGAGTCAAAGTGTTGTTTTTTCATTTGACCAAATTTGACTTGGTCAAACTTGCTCAAATGAGACACTAAATGACCTCAGATGAAAAAACTTTGAATACCAAGTTTGATCATCTCAGCAAGATCTACAATTGTTACATAGCTCATTTTTCCATTTGAGAAAGTTTTATCAAACACTAGTCATAAATTCTTAAATCTCATATAGACTTTCTGAAACTATGTCACACACTTGTGAAATTTAAACTATATTTTATTCAAACTTTCTCAAATGAAAAAATGGCCTATATAAGGATTGTATATCTTGATGAGATGAACAAATTTTGTATTCAAAACTTTTCAATTTGAGACAATCTAGGGTTCCGAAAACTAGTTTGTACACGTCGAAATTTAAAAATCACAAATTTGAACCATCCAAACTATCTCAAATGGAAAGTTGACCAAAACAAAAATTGTATATCTTGATGATTTGAACAAACTTTGTATTCAAAACTTTTC